GTTCTGATACTTCTACATTTGTCGCATTACAAAGTATTGAATTCCACAACAAAATCCAGAACTGTTCTCTGGAATGTAATGAATTCAGTGGGGTTTTGTAGGTCAGCAGCAGATTACTTCCACCCACTGGCGTTGTTGTTGGTAATAATAGAAGCACGACGAGCTTTCACAATGAAGTAGGTGAGAATTTTTATAATCATCGTTGGTTATCGAAGACTAATATTAGTCCTCCCCCTTTTATATAAGAATTATGAAGAAGTCCACACGGTTGTCAGAAATTGCTCTCCTAAAAAGGATGTTCTGGATGCTCCGAGGAGTTCGTCTCCCCTCCTGTCTAGCAAATTATGTTACATGAAAAAAAACACTGTGGAAGAAGAAGGTCTTGTCTGTTCGATATAATTGTTCCCACTGATTTCAACCTATAGAAAGCGATTTTCTACAATGGTTTATCGTTCATGTCCTACTTACTTCTCCTCAACGAGATAATTTTACTTCAGTGTCATGTGGAAGTACATTCTGCGACCGCGAGAGATGCTCAACGACGAGACAAAATGGTAAACTCGTACATGTCTGCAGCGACTTCGCTTAGAATTTCATCTCAAAGTGAAATAAAAGCATTAAAACACTATCATTTACTGCTCACTGGACATTTAGAAAATACGGAGAGAGTTCAAAACCGCTAGCTAACGATACGAATGAACTTTTTTTGAAACTAAGGATTGTAAAATAAACACCAGCCATACGAGTCTATCACAAGGACCAGAATTTTAGTCACATTTCGAAAACTCTGGAAATTCTAGATTATTGGCATTGCATTCTTTTAATTCAGATGAGATAAGCAAAACCCGAATGGTTGAGACTTCAAAGACACAGGATGTCCGGTCCCCTAAATCTAACACTGAAGCCTCACCCATGGCGAGCGAGAGTGTCTTCAGCGAGACAAAGTGTCTGTTCAGAAAACCAGATTATCCACGACATTTCAATCCTCCGTATGAAATTATACAAAAGTAGCTTGAGAATTGATTTTACAATAACGTAGAACTCATCAAGATTAATAGTTATTGTATTGAAAGGTAGGAAAAGGGAGTTATACAATTGTAAAAGCCTGCATCGCAATAATGTCGCATTCCAAATCAAGACCAGATATTTCTGAACTTGTGGCAAAGATAATGAGACAGTCCATGTACAAAAAGACCTTCATTCCTAGTGGATGTTTCTCGGAGATAGCACGGAGAATACGCAACTATTCAACGAATTCTCAAGCAGCAGCGAAACCCACACGGAAATCGGAAGACTTTCGTGCAGGAAAGGTGGGAGTAAAAGAGCCATATAAAACAAGTGCTGAAAGAATCTGCAGGGTAAAGAAAGAGGTGTACAGGAGAATGTCATCAAGTTGAAGATGAAACGAGGGTCACCAATGACCCAGATGAATAAGAGGTCTCTTACAAAAGAGATATTGCTGTGTTATCCAAGGTGAGTAAAGTGAGCTCCTTGCCTACTGATCGTTGCACGTTTTCGAATTTATTCCTATTGAATTTGGTTTAATATGTCATCTTTATATCATTTATTTATTCAGGCGCTTTTGGCGAACTTAAAGATGACCTGCTGCGACGAGGTGCAGAATATCGCGATCAATTAGTTGGAGATTTGAGTGTAGTTGATTTATCCTTGAATTAGTAGTACCGCTGAGCCCGGAAGAAAACACGGCCTTGAACAGGTCGGTTCAGCGCCAAAGGTATAGAGACGACGTGTTGACAGTTATAAGGAACTATCAAAACGCAAATCCAGATCTGCTTTAGTACCACAAAGCCGTCTGGGTTAGATGTAATCAAAGTAGACAACGCTCTTATAAGGATATGTATTCTTTCTTTGATGAGTTCACACGAGGTTGATAATGATGTTTATTTTCGGCTAACGTTTCGACGTCTTCGTCTTCCTCAGAGCCGATGATCCGAGTCGCTTTGTGCTAGCTGATAACAACACCGACTTCTGCACGATGTGCGCAATGATGTATGTCCGGAAGAAAAACAAGTTGTTATCACCGGACATTATCATTATATCGACCATCAGCATCAGGAAGACGAATACGTCGAAACGTCAGCCGAAAATAAGCATCATTATCAACCTCGTGTAAGCTCATCAAAGAAAGAATACATATTGATTAGTGATACCGAGGTTCAAGGAAAGTCGGTTTCGAAATATTACTACGCTCTTATAAGGGTTGTATATTTCAAAGTTGTTAATTACACGCGAAAGGTGCAAATTGTAAAAATTGCAAATTTCTTAAGATTTCAAATCACTTCTTAGAGCTTAACGTGTAAAGCAACATTGGAAAGTTATGAGAATAAGTGTCTAAAAAATCCGATGTTTCCAGGAACACGTTGGGTAGAAGCTCAAGAGTGCGCACTGCTCGAGAGCTTAGACGTTTTGCCTACTTCATTAAAATCTACCAAGCCGTAGGTGACGATTTCGCAAGGTCGAGTGCAAAAAAGCGATCTTAGTGCTCTCCTCAAAGACAACAATTTCTTTGTTATTCCATCTGCACAACGAGTAGGAGAATCGTAGTAATACCCATAAAAAACGAAGGAACCTTCCCCTAGAAGTCCTTTTTTAAAAATGCTGGTGAGTACAAGGCAGTAATTCTCCGATCGAGTGATATAGTTGTTCTGGAGAAGCTATCGTTTTAGTGAAAAAGTTATAGTTGAGAAGGTTTGTGCGCTAAAACTATAATTGAAAAAAGGAGTCATATGTGACTCATAAACGACAACGTGATGAAGCAGGCACTGGAGGCATATGTCATAGTTACAGCAATGTCTCAATACAAGTGCGGTTTCTTTTCTTGATATTGGGTCTCATGTACGTCATACAGGAACGCGTCAACGAAAGTTTATGACTAATTAACTCGTGATACTCCAAATAGTAGAGGAAGGTCTGCTGATACAAGAAATATGATTGCAGAGTGTGAGGTTGATTGTGGGAGAAGTAAATATGAAACAAAAGGGGAACGAACTATGACGCATTCCTTAGTGAAAACCTTCATTTTCTTTTTTAGAAAACTCTCTTTGTTTCAATAATTAGAGGTATAAACTCGCGAGTAATTTGGTTGGGCAGATTTAGTAAGACACGAACTACATATGAGTCATATGTCAGTCATTTGAACGGTGTGGATCGCATATGACTTATACCACACAAAAATTGGGCACCGGTCTGAACGTGTTCATAATCATAACAATGCTGAGATATTTGCAGATCACCGGACCACTGGCGTTTGCGGTGAAGATGGAACAAGTTGTTACCCTTTCTGGGGGCGAACACGCTCACCACCACACCGCGCGAGTCGTTCGTTTCGCCTTCAGCCGTGTTATTGACCTATAGGTACTAACAACTGAGAGAAAGGTGAAACGAAGGACCCACATGATCTGGTATGAATGGGTTAGCCCCGGGAAGGGTAATAGCGTGTTCGGTCCGGAGTTTTGCAAATATCTCAGCATCGTTATGGTTATATTTCACATAATATCCTGCCATTTCAAAAAAGAGTGAGTAAGCAGTAAATAAAAGGTCAGTACACAGTGTTCATAATTTCGAGCGGTGTCAAATCAAGCTAAGTATGACGTCAACAGACCGTAGTGTAAATACTAACAAACAGTAACGAAATGACACCTGTTTTTGGCGAATTCAGAAAAGGCGGATTTCCAAATCTCGAAGTCCAAAGGGCTTTCCAAAATTAAGTCAGTTAATGTATAGTGCGACGTTTCCATCAGGAAGCCTAGCTAAGAGTAAAGCAACACCAGGGTCCACCACCGTCCTGATACCAAAGTCGCATAGTGGCAAATCTCCTTCTGATCCACAAAGGCTGCGACTGCCTGTGGTGGTGAAGATCTGAGGCAGACTTTGGCCAGGTTGATCTCGGGATTCTACGAAACCACAATAGGTTGACCACCAAATCTCCGAAAAATGGTGAATATGCTGGGGCCTGCGCAACCAATGAGGACGGTCCGTTCAAGTATCAAGTAAGTAAGTAAAGTGCCTCATAATGCTTCAGCTTCAGCTTTCATCTTTTTTATCGAGAATTACACTCAACAGTAAACTAATACCAAGAATCGCACCGTAACCGAAAAAACAAGAAGTCCCTTGATTGCAAACCTCACCGGTTGAACTAACGTCACTGACTGCCTGTGGCGGTGTGGCATTACTCTAACATTGTTTGGAACACAAAGCGAGAAAAGGATAAAGCGTTGGCGCTAAACAATCCCTGATGGCCGTATATACTGCAAGGCACCTCTACCTACTGCGCTACACGCATCCCCAGCTAAAAAGATCTCTAGAAGGAATCGTGCTTAACGAATAAAATGCCAACTGGATGTGGATTTTGCTATGGCACACACGACCCTTCGTTAGAACGGGTGACCGAAGTGAATACCCAGCTAGGGTTAAGTTTCTCCGAGTGGTGCTTATTACCTACACTAATGCATCAAGGGACTGATGGACAAGACACCACTTCAACAACCATGGGCTACAGCTCAACTGGTCGTTAAGGCCACTTCTTGTCGTCGTGTCGAACACGACCGGGCGCCGATGGGAAACTGCGTACGACGCACTGCAATCCACGGTAAGCCCAAAAAATCTGAAACTTTTAAATTTTTGCATTCTTTTATATCCCTTAAATTTTTTATTTGAACTAGGGAAACTGGTTGGAATCGTTGTCAATTCTTGTACAGTTCTTTTATGTTAGTTTTTTTTGCTGTTGTGATGGGGCTATTTATTACTACTAACATTATTGGCTTGGAGGATTCTCAAAGATAACTTATATTTTGATGAATTACGAGAAGTATTCCATTCGTTATGGAGTTTTGATGCCTATTGGGTGTTTCCAATCAATCATTTAAGACATCTTTCAGTCCACTACTTAGAACGAGTTCGTCTGTCAATCGTTCCTTGTTCACGAATTGGTTAGCCGATTAAAAACCTTGGCATCAGAGCGGCGTTGGGTCAGAAATGGTTTGTGGATTTACTCGATTGTTATCGAAGCACTTCTTTGTAGCCTTCGTTTTGAGGTGCATGAGCTTTTCTTCGAGATCGTTAGGGAGAAGCAACATGTTTTCTGTGACGCAAAGGATTCAGCCCCTGTTCTTGAGCTTAAGAAGATAGTTGAAGGAGTGTTGAAGGTAATTTGGTTTTGTTCTCTACTAATGGTAAAGGGAGCTACAAGTACAAATCACTCTATTGAACATTGTGCACATTCGTTGCTATTCTTCAGATTCCGGTGAATGATCAGATTCTTGTTCGCTTAATAGACGATAACGTGAATAATTTTCAACCTCTGGACAACAAGAAGACGTTAGCTGAGAGTGGTTTTAATGTGAATAATGCAAAGGTAAGAGATCACGTTAGCCTTTTATTTGCTACCTACTATGATTTTTCGCGGCCTGGTATGATGTGAAATAGAACCACACCGATGCTGAGGTATTCGAAAGACTTGGACCCCGCGCCAGGTGGAACTACGATTACCTTTTCCGGGGGCTCGTATGTTACACACTGCACCACTGAGACCCTTGCTTTGCGTTTCTGTCAGCTAGTTTTCTACGTAACGTTTCCATCAGCTAGCTGTGAGCCCTCTGAAAGCGTAATCGTGGTTCAATCTGGTCCGGCCTCCAAGTTTTGCGAATATCTCAGCAAAGGTAAGATTTTGCCAGTTTGTAGATGTGTAGTTGTCTTCTACACGTGACGATATGTTTTCATTACTAAGAGTTTGAAGTTATTTTTCTTTCTATTTAAGGCACAGAGTCCTGCCGTAGTTGCTTTGATGTTCAAAGGTGAATCCGCACCCATCATCGATGAGCTGTCGACGCCTCCTCCCATTCCCGATGCGATGAGGAACGAAACACATTCTCAGGAATGAGGTCCTGATTTGGGATTACGGATTGCTCTTCCTTAACATCGTTACTCGCAGAACACTGGGTTGTTTTCTTCACCACACCAGTTAGCTTTTACTATTGATGTGTAGGCGTTTATATAATTCGTTGTTTCATCTAATGCTTCCGACTGTACATTTCCGCAGCCCATAAGATGTTGCTTCCTTTTCTGGCTATATTTTCTAGAACTTGTCTATTTATGATAAAAGTGCTGCTACGTGTCGGAATTTAGCTTCTATTTTGGTTGCGGGTTACAATACATACATCTTGAAGGAATTAGAACCATTTAAACGATTAGTTACAATAGACCGGAATGGAGTTCGAGAAGTCAGATGAATCAGAAGTCATCAGCGACAGGCCCGGAGTCCTTAACATGTTTTCCAGTCGATTCGAATTCCCTTTAAGCAGCGTGGCAGTCGAGGCTCTGAAACTTCCCAAGAGTCAGCGTGTTCAACGAAACTACCACCTCCCTGCCCTCGGGCCTGTCCGATTATACGTTGGAGCTATTGAACAGGTAAATTTATCATTTCGCATAGCTACTGGTTTTTCTGTTATTCTTGGAAGGGTTTCTTCTTTATGTTTAAGCACTCTTTTGGCGAACATCAGTTACCTCCTGAAGAAGTTGGATGGAGCAGGAATTTGATCCAAAATTATGAGATTGAACTAGGTTGTTATTCTTTGTTTCAAAGTTGAGAGTTAAGTCTTGGAAGGATTATTAATTCTTGAGTTTTTAAAATTACTTAAGGTCGAAGACAAATTTCTTTTGTTTCATGATTCCTTATGATTGTTTTCTATCCTGTTATTGTTAATGTGTTTGGAAATTTGAAGTCTGTGTCGTGCATATTTTAACACTTGACTACTGGGTGGTGTTATATAAGTCTAGATTTTTAAACTGTTAACTGACTAGTACGGCGCGTCTAGCGCAGTGGTGAGAAGCTCCCTACAATATACATGAGATCGATCCCCGCGTTACAAGCTCACCAAGCCTTCCATCTCTCCGGGGTCGGCGAATTGGTACCAGAGTTATCTAAGAAGATAGCACCACTTGCTCGATACATCGGTAAGCCACCGCGAGTCACTGTAAAGGCCAGGTATGCATTCAGTCACCTCCAGCGATACTTAATGAAGTCGAATGCATGGCGCATCCTTCAGGTATTGATCAATGCCGATAGCTTAATTCTTTTATCCTTTTTGACTTACTACTAGTGTTATATATTATAACACATTTCATTAGTATGACAGATCTGTCAATTTTTGTTTCAGGTGGTCCCGAAAAGAATGATTTCTTCAATATCATTTCGCGATATGTCGACTTATACGCCCATCCGACTCCGACGAATTATGCATACAGAGTATGTTATTATATGACAAGATGTGTTCAGCAGCGATTTTGTTGTTTTCAGACAGTATATTTAGCCCATGCGTTGAACCATGTCGTTTGTACTAGGAATTGTGTTATATCCAACAACCGGAAACTGGAAATCGCTGCTTCCAAGGTTATTTGCTTTGATTTATTCCTTTATGTTTCTTAGTTGTCCGCAGTGCTGTTAACACAAATTTGATTTTTCGTTTCTCTATTCTGGGTTCCTCATAAGTCAGAGAAAGATTGAAACTTTGAAAATACTTGCTTGGTTACTTGAATGGCTCCGTCTTCACTGTGCGGGCCCGAGAATAATTTCAATCTTTTCGGAGTTTCGCTAGTGGCTCCCCGTAGTTCTGAAGTCAGCCTTGCCAAAGTCTGATCCAGGTCGTGATCATCACAGGCATTCGCTATTCTTGTGGATCAGAGAGAGATTTGCCACCATGTGACTAGTTTGATTCCAGGATGGAGATGGGTCTTCGTATTGGTATCCTGAACTTACAGCAAAATAATGCCTGTCTGTGTAGAAGCGGCTACTTTTGTGTCTTTTTTTAACGTTTCAAGAAAAGATCTCTTGGTGCTACTTTCTGATTTATTGTATTCATATTGCTGAATCTGTTTTCTTAAGGTGGTTCATATCTGATATATCGCATTGTATAGAATATGTGTTTCTGAACATCAGTGAGCAGGAGATCCTACATTTATTTGCAGGGTCAGATCAGTGATGAACTAATAGAGTCTGCACGAGATCAGGGATTTGTTAGACCTACTATTCTTATTCTTTGTCCTTTCAAGAAAGATGCATTTGATATCGTTCAGAGGCTGGAGCTATTAGTTTTCGGAAAAGGTAATTCAGTGCGGATGTTTTTATCCTTAATACCTACATTTCTAAACATCGAACATTTTTTTCAGGCCATAAGGTTTCGACGTGGAATAGAGAAAGATTCCAAAATGAATTTAAAAGTGAAACGGCTCCAGATTTCAAAACGAAACTATCAGAAGAGTTCAAGGTTCTGTCTTTGATTTTTGCCGTTCATTTTAATCTCACATACTTTTAGTTTTTGTTATGTTAAGGAACTGATTACCGGGAACAATGATGATTGCTTCCGCGTTGGTATAGCTCTGTCTAAAAAAGTCTTGAAACTGTACGAAGCTTTTGATAAGGTACGATATTTAAAGCCACTGCTTCAAGGGTTTTCTGACAAATCAAAATATTTTTTTGCCTTTTACTAAATTATACCATTTATCATAGAGAGAGCACGTAGATATACTGGAATAGGTTTGCGTCATTAGTCTTCACAGGTGTTTGGATTGATTTAGATGCACACTAGAATCATAACAGGCGATGCGCACTTACTGGAAAGCATTTTCTTTTCGGAGCTTTCTTCGGTAAGTAGAGTTTTTTGCCATAGTTGTACTAGTCGTGGTCCTAGAAGAGCTGTATCACCTGGTCATCTATCATTCCTTTGATTGTCGAGTGACACGAGCAGGCGCCATTAAACCTTCTATTGTTCGTTCTCGCGTTCAAGAGTTGCCTAATGGGTTCTCGTTCTACGAACTCATTGATCATCATATCTTTCTGCTAAGGCTTTTGTGAAGAACACCGGCCCATCGGGTCAATGATCTTCCTGTTCTACGTTTAACATCTCTAGTAATCCAATCGCTAGTGGCTTTTATCCACCCGTTGTCGTTCATAGGCACTACGCATCCATCCCTTTTTATTGTTGTTATTTTCGAGAGTTTCGCATAGAAACCGGCATCATTGATTTTTGGTCGTTCGTCCGAGCAGGTCAGAGCTTCGCGATTTGTCGCGAGACTAACTATCATGAGATTCCTTTGTGAGGAAGATCCATGGAAAAGCTGTATTAAACATTCACTAGTTAAAAGATCTATTTCGGGCAAATTTATTCGTTAGTGTGTAGGAACTGTTTACTATAGAATACGGTTTGTTTCGTTCGAAAGAATACTACACATGAGAAGTTTGGTAAGATTTCTTTCACACACCAGTGCATACATAGGAGTACCATGGTAATCTTTTTTTCCTGTTGAATGAAATATTGATTACATCTGGAAAAGATACGACCCAGAACCATTTAATTTACGTCGCTTTTATTGCCTTTTTTCAATTTTATCATTAGTTCCATATTAGATCCTGTTACAGTCTTTCATTTCCCGAATGTAACTAACATTTTGCTGAATGAAGTCGATCTATTTAATAGTTTGCTTAATATGCTCTTAAGTCTGCAGTTCAATTTTTCTTCGCTTTTTATTTCTAATTTGGTCTGAGAGCTCAAGTGTGTTTGGAGCTCACGAATCTTCCGAATACGTTTTCACCTGCTATATGGCCAGTGAAGAACCCGACAGATGCTTGAGGTGCTTTAAAAAGTAGCAGTTGAGCTGGATGATAAGTATGGCAAGTAGGGTGCATTCCGCAAGGTCCCGTGTTCCACTCTTTCAACTTTTCTTGCGTATTATTGTGCTAAATGTGGGCAGGTGTTTTCATGCATCAAAATTGGCCCCTTACAATTGATCGTTATCGATTCCAGACGAGTTTTTTTTGTGTATTTTATCGTTTTCTTAGCTATACTTTTCCTTAATAACGGCTTTCTCAGCGTACATTAAGTTATGGTTGATTTGGTTCCATCTCTCAAACGCGAAAACATTTTACCCAAGTTTTGACACAGTTTTACCTCCAATGTGTGTTACGATGTCGTCTCTGTCTGTCATTTCCACAGAACAGCGTTGAGTATAGTGAAGAGTGACGCAAATGTTGCAACAAGCGGACTAGAGCTTATTCAACACCGTACTCATTTGCCTAGTTTTTGTTTTCTTGAGCAGTGGGTACGCGGTGTAAACTTGTTAAGGAGGATCTCTTCTTTTCGTCTATTTTATTCGTTTGTGGAATTTTTTCCTGCTTTTACATTCTGTTAAGGTGTTTTGAAACTTGTTCTTTACACAGCTATAGTTCTTATAGTTTTCGTTACGTTGTGCATGAATCTGTTTCAAATTTAATGTTGAAGTAGTCATCTTTAAGGGTTTTAAAGGTTTCTCACACTCCGCGGCAGTGAAACTTTTACCTGCATTCATTATCACTTAGCATATCGATACCTAATCTTTGTTTACTACTGTGGAGAGAATAATGTATTTCTACCAATGAAACCACGTTACCGGTAGAGTGGACGGTGTGTTGATTTCAGTGCGTCTTTTTTCGGCTGCTCATTTTATTATTCTTTTGAATTGTTTAGCCCATACAATGATTCTGGTGGACAGTACGAAGACATCCCTATTGAGGGTGTTAGTTTTCAAGAGGGTACTAAAATATTCCGATGTAGGTGCAGAGAGTGTGAGCTGGTCATTATAGTTCCAGTCAGTTAGTGTTCCATTAGAAATACTATAGGTTACGAACTTCGTCGCGCTCATTTATGAATAAAGGTAGATTCTGTGTAAAATACTGAGGTACAGTCATATGTTTTGAAACCTAACTAAGAAAGGTTGACAGTACGATGATTAGATTGGTGGTGAGAGTCTTTTTGTTATATACAAGTTTTAGAAATGTTTTAAAAACATGGAAAGATACATAAGAGGATATAGAGGATGCTTGGAACGTAAAAAAAACCAAAAAAGAAATCACGGAAGGAGCACTTGGGAAAGTCGAATCCTAAGGCGAAATGCGGGAAAAAGTGGCAAGAGAAAAATGAAAAACGAAAAGAAACGGTCTGTGTGCTTGAGAAAGGCAGAATTTCGTTTTTGTATAGAAAGAATATATCGTATTGGAAAATATCATTAGATTCTACTCAGTTTTACTTCAGTTGTAGAGTTCAAGAGGAATTGAAACGTTTCTCATTCGGCGCATTTCCAGCAGCACCTTATTTCCTCTCTCTACCATATTGGATGAGGTCTAATTTTTTGTCGGTCTAGCACTGCGTTGAAAAAAAAGTGCTCGTTTTTCTTTGTTTGCACCTAGAATTAGTGAATTCAAGTGCCCTCATGGAATTCGCACTGAGTTGCTTCAAACCCCAATTAGTTATCTCCGGAATTATGCACTTGTGTTTGTGTAGCACAGACATCTCATAACATAATAGTATCGTTCTCACCTGCGATACCGTCACCAGACGAGGTATCATAGCGTCTTTATCAGCAGCAGTCGCTGTGGTCTGGAAAGCAAATTCATACGGATTTTTTCTTGAAAATAGTCTTCCTAGGGTAACGTTTGCACGCACCTGTAAATTTGTCGATGAGACTTAAAAAGTACTTTTTAACAAAGAAGCTCTATGTTTCAAAGAAATCATTGAGAAGAAAGTGCATTGAAAACGATGCGAATGTGTTAAAGTTGCACGTCCTAATCATGGTTTTGGCCGCGAGTGCACTCAATCTACGTAGGCTATTCCTATCTCCGTGTACGAATTGGAATCAACTCACATTGGACTGTAAGTGCTAACCTCGGACCGAATACAATATTGGATATTGCCTCCTGATTTCACAGCTTTACTTTCAGATTTGGTTGCCTACAGAAAGTTGTGCAACTGCATATTCATGTTTTTATTTAAGTGCAGTAATTTAAACACAAGTTGTTGTGCAAATAAAAGTACTGTAAAGATTAATGTGCTGGTGAGAAACATTGGCTTAACAATAAGGAGTGGAATCTACCCTTTGAAATGGTTTGAAATATGAAAACAAAAGCGTAAAGTTTCACTTAAGGACATTAAGGGATTAAGATTTGAAAAAACAGGTGACGAGAGTCTTCCAGAAATGTGATGTGCTCTTAAGGAACGTACAAACTACACAAACTTTTGAGCGTCATGTGTTGACATATTGATGTACAGTGTTTTAGTCGGACTTCATTCTTTGCTCTCCACTTGGTCTTCGAATGATTCTTGATGGCGATGTTGGAAGGGAAAGTCATTTAATTTCCAATATTCAGTTAGCTGTTGTAGATAAGGTGATTTTTCACGGTTATTTGCATATTAGCTTAATCCTACGAATGTTGACAAAGTAACAGAGGGGCGCGTGTGGCGCAGTGGTCGGAGACTGGATCGATTTTTTCACACACGGGATCGATTTTCGCATCCACGGCCCATCAAACTTTCCGTCCCTCCGAGGTCGGCAAATTGGTACCAGACTTGTCTGGGAAGATAACAGCACTGGCTCCATACATCAATAGGCCACCGCAAATCATTGTAAAGGCCAGATATGTACTTAGTCATCTCCAACGATGCTTAATGAAGTCGAATGCATGGCGTATCTTTCAGGGATTGATCAACGCCGAGAGCTTTATCCTTTATCCTTAATGACTAATAGATACTACGCCGAAATGTCTGGTAACTGTAATTGTACATTGCTTGTAATATATTTTAGGCTGACATTATGTTGCAACAGAATTGGGAACATCTTTCAATTATATTCTCTCACTTGCACAACCAACCATCGGAAATACATACAGATATTTCTAGAGTTCGAAAGTGCTACATCGGTATTCCAAGATTTATTTGCTGTTTGTTTACAGTCCATTTGTTTTTATATTGTTCGTTAAAGCTTTTTACAGATGGCTTGTCGAAGTACTATTGTCAGTTACTGCTGTTTTCTCGTTATGCACATGAACTTTTTTCGGCTTTAATACTGGAATATTCATTAAATTATCGTGGACTGGTAATTCAAAATCGTCCTTGCAATGGCACACTTGACAAAGTATAGTTTCGTGATTTTTTACAATTTTCATTTGTCCTTGGCTCTTCCAATCCTCATGCTTATAACCGTAAGCTTGCTAAGATATGAGCAAAATTCGGAGCCTTGTTGGACTTCGGACTCGCGATTACCTTTACCGTGGGCTCGCACACTATTCACCGCACCAACTGAGGCCCTTGCTTTACCTTTCAGTTATCTTTAAGGGCGTGTTACAAAGAATTAAAACACTGCAATTTTTCATGCTTATAGTTCTCGCCACGAAATTTATTGTAGATTGAAATTCCTTTATGTCAAGAGCTTCGACGTTTCGCCGTCGAAAATGCCGCCGAACAAGCTGTTTTACGTTTCAACTTTTTCAAGGAATACGTGAGTTATCACAGGAACACTGTACTACTTTTCTTATCATTGTATTGGAACTAATGAATATCCTTCATTTTAAGTGTTCTTCGTCCCTTTTACCAGGAACTTGTTTCGTTATTCCTTCTTACTTCGATTTTGTTCGTGTAAGGAACTATTTTAAACGAACCGAGGAAAGTTTCGTTGCCTGTCACGAATACGCACCCAAGAATAAGGTCTGTTTTACCATCTCACTTTAGGATCACGCTTCTAGAAATGTTTACTGGGCAACTTACATTTATATCCGTCTTTTAATTTGTTATTTTTTGTCTAAGAAGATGTTTATATCTGTGAAAATATGATTTTTTGAACGTTTTGTGGAGTTATGCGCCATCATTTTTTCCTTATTTTTGTTTAAGATTACTCGAGCGCGAGATATGTTCTACCATAAAATGAAAAAGATATTACTAGTCACAGAACGATATTACTACTTCAATAGGAGGCCACTGAGGGTGAGTTCTGGAAAATCTTAGCACTCTGTTAACACTTCCAAAGGTTCACTTTTGTCTTATAGCTTGGTGTAACATTGTATCTTGATGAACACTTCGCACTTGAGGATACAAAGTGAGGCTCAGCATTGATCGAACAATTCTTTACATTCTTGTTGAGCAAACACGAGGTGGTATTTTGTCTCTTTATTTGCGAGCACGCTGACATTTCGGTGGATTTCACCTTCCTAAGAGCCTAGAAAGGTCAAGTTTGGCACAATTCACCTAGCGAAATACCTCCATAACCAAACACAGAGGTGTTTTCGAAGTTTTTGGTTGGGTAAATTGTGGCCAACTTGGCCGTTCCAGGCTTTAAGGAAAGCGAAATCCACCGAAAAGTCAACTTGCTCGTAAATAAAACAAAATAACATGTTTGGTCAACAAGAATATGAAGAGTTGAAACAGAATGGTTTTAATATACGTAGAAATGAAGTGTCTTAGTGATGGCAGTTGTGCTGTGTTCAGTTCTTTTATATTGTTTAATAGTGAAAATAGTAACACAACAACATATTAACTGGACAGAATTTAGAACACTCTTGCGCGTCCCATGTTTTTTTATCCATACGACTTTTCCGTGTGGAAATATAGTTCTGATTTTATTCGTTCCACATAGCGATCCCCAGTTCGCATAGTCCTCAGTTGTTTTCGTACACACCTCGTAGTCTGCTTTAATATTTTTCAGGGCATAGCAAAGATAGTTTTCTACCAACTACCTTCGCATCCTGACTTCTACTGCGAGTTTATCAATATGGCAAATTGTGAGGCTGGAACGAGGTTCAGCTCAGTGCTGTTTTACTGTCACTGTGATAGAATCCGTCTTCAGAATACTTTTGGAACGGACTTAGCAAATTCTATTATATCGTCCAAAAAAGCCGTCCAAGCAATTGTTTCAGAATAGTGTGTCTGTGTGTTAAGTCAATCGTTAACCTCTGTTAGAAAGCCATAATGTTCGGTTTAACTCCCAAGTTTAATTGTTGTATAAATTCATCAGTAAGGTAGAACGAGATTTGACGAATTCATCGTAAGGTCAGTTTCTGAGCTCATAAACCTGGGGTTTCCACGTGCTCGGAGATTTCGGGATTTCTCATCATGTTTAGTGGGCTATGGTAACGGCAGATAGGCACTAATAAGTTTTTGTACGAACTCTAACTGTTGTTATATACTCGCATTCCCTTCGGTGCCGTTTTCTTTTCGTTATTCCAGTTTTAACTGTATCTGCATCAGAGGGCTCACTTGTTCGTGAATATTTGTTACGTACGAAATTTTATATAAGAATATTAATCTTGTTTGTAAGAATATGAAACATGATGGACTTGATTTCCCCGATTAATAAAGTGTAAAACTTACCTTGGATAACTAGAGCTATAGGGTTTTCGAAAGTGTAGTACGTTTGAACAACGAATGGGATCCCAAGAACTCTCTACCTTTTACCCGAAATGTTTCAAGATCAAGAGAACCATAGCCGAGAAAGAAATCAGGCGACTCTGATCGGACGCGATTATGGCAAAAAGGTGAGTTGTCTGTTCTCATTACTGCTAGCTGTTTACATATCTGTATCTACTTGTCGGATTTTGTTTATAGACGTAGTGTTGTCGATGTGGACCAACTTCAGGGTGTATATGAATTTTATAAGGGATAAAAATGGGATGTAGTCGCTGAGTGCTTTGTAGTTCATTCGGGAATACTATATTGTTACTTTTATGAATCCACTGTTATAATCTCTAGTCTGTTATGTTTTGACGTATTATTTCAATTTCAGTAAGGGCATCTGTAGCACAGTGGTCGCAGGCTCCATGCAGTACACATGGGACCAGTTTCGGCGCCTATGGCCCACCAAGCCTTCCATCCCTTCGGGATCGGCAAATTGGTACCAGACTTGCCTGGGGTGATAGCAGCACTGGTTCGATACATCGATAGGTCACTGCGAGTCATTGTAAAAGCCAGACATGCACTCAGTCACCTCCAACGATGCTTAAGTTGAATGCATGGCGCATCTCTCAGAGATTGGCCAACATCGAGAGTATTATTTTTTATCCAGCCGTTTCTGCCCTATGCGGCGTCACTACAGTTGAATCCCCACAGAGATGTTGTGCATGATGATTCTATGAGATGAGAGTGGTGTTCTCCGCCACTGAATTCGCTTTTCCAAAGCTAATAAGTATTTTATGCTTTTGAAGGAAAAATTGGCCCAACCAAAGCGAAGGTATTGCTAGCACATAAAAGCAATATTTGGCAAAGCAATATTTTTGAATGCGGAATTCCTTCAACTTCGGAATGGACGATTTCTGACCGCTATAAGTTGGGCTGTCGTCGAGAACATTCTGAGTGAAGTTCTGTCCAAACGTAATTGGCAGATCAAAGAAGACCCAACCGAAGATTGCAAACTGCTTGTCGAAGCACTGAAAAGCTGTGCCGAATTCGCCTCAATTTCTTAAGCAAGAAGATCGGATCGCATCTCCATCACTACTAAGGAGTTGCTCGAAAAGAGAAGGAAACTGAAGCTTGATCCCATTGCAACACATTTAACATGGCTAGTAATAAATTCCAGCTGTAGAAGAGCTTTGCAGGAAGATCAAAAACGGTACAAGCAGAAGAAAATACTGAAAACAGCAGAGAAAAGGAGCAGTCTGAAAAAATGCCGTCGGGACTTCTGTGGTTATAATGTTCCACTTTCAGCCCGGATGAACGAACATGGGATCGTCAAAACTTCTCGCCATGTTATAGAATTAATAGCGGAAACGTTCTACACTAACCTTTTCCGTTCCACAATCCCCGTCCCGGCCCTAATATTCCCGCTGGAGAAAAACTACCAGGAATTCTTCCGTCGGAGGTTCGAGTTGCGATAGAAAGCATGAAAAGAGACGCAGTTCCAGGACCCGATAATATCACTACTGATTTCCTTAGAGCTGGAGGCCACAATTTAGATGTACTCCTCGCAGATCATATGACAGGTTACCTTCAAAAGGAAAAAAATCCTAGACCGGTGGAGGACATCGTGCACGGTCATCCTGCCCAAGAATGGAGACCGAAGGGATCTTCGTAACTATCGTCCCATATGCTTGTTCAGTGTACTCTACAAGCTCTTCACGAAGATTATCCTCTCGTGCATATCAAGGACATTGGATGAGGCGCAACCAGTTGAGCAAGCAGGATTTCGAAAAGAATTTTGCTACATGGACCACATCCAAACCGTGTTCGGGGTCATCGAAGTTTGTCGGGAATACCACTTGTTTCTAGTTCTAACCTTTGTCGACTATGAGAAAACGTTTGACGGTGTCGAAACGAATGCAATCCTATCATCACTCGTCGATTAAGGTGTGGACCCGTCCTACATAAGGACTCCGTCCGACTGTTATCGGAATTGCACTGCGAAAATACAGCTTTTCCATCGACTTCTCACAATACCCATAAGAAAAGGGGTTCGACAGGGCGACACAATATCGCCAAAGGTGTTCAGTGCCGCACTACAATGGATAATGAAATCACTCGATTGGGATGAGAAAGGCATACGTATTGATGGAAAATTCCTACCAAACCTTCGTTTTGCCGACGACATTGTCATCTTCTTAAGAAGTACTAGCGAAGCAGAGGTGATAATCAACGAGCTCAACAAAGCAGGGAAAAAGATCGGACTTCGCATAAATCGAAAGAAGACCCAGTTCATGAAAAACCCATGGTGCGAAGGCGAAAACATTGAATTGGGTGGCTCTCTCATTGCAGAGACCACCTCGTACGTTTACCTTGGCCGATCAATGGACATGGAAAACAACATGAAGGAGGAACTAGATAGAATAAGGGGAGCAGCTTGTGCCGCAGTCGGGCCTGTCAAGCAAGCCACCGACCATTAAGGACCCGAAAATCCTNGCTCACATCTTTAATTCTACGGTCCTCCCAACGCTTTGCTATGTTGCAGAGACGTGGGTTGATACTTCAACTACGTCAAGAATGCTTCGAACTACTCACAGAGCGCTTGAGCGATGTCTTCTGAAATATAACCGGCACTCTCAATATCTAGCCGGAATGCGAAGCTCTGACCTTCGAAATCTGTCACATCTTCGAGATCCAAGAGAATATACATCGACAGCGAAACATAGAAGAGCCGGTCACATAATGAGAAGAACAGGCGACAGATGGACGAAAGGAACTGTAGAATGGACTCCACGAGAATGCAAACGTCCCCTAGGACGACTTCCTACATGTTGGGCCGACGTGTTCGTAAACAAAGTTAATCAGCTGCACCCGCAGCTGGAGTTGCTTTACAGATCACGGTATGAGACTCGCAAGCGCTGCCATACTCGAACAAGACCACCCCCATGGACTACGATTGCGAGAGAAAGGAACGAATGGCATATGTGCTGGGGTCCGCACAGCTCGTGAAGACGGACCGTCGAGGTATCCAAGTAAGTAACTATAAGTTGGGCTGTTGCTACGAAAGCATAGATTTGAATGGCAGTCGAACATTAACTGTCTTGTATGGTAGGACACTACTGAATGAGGCCTCTTCATTCGAACATTCATTCGAACACTTCTTCAGTCTACTCGATTCGAGTTGTTGCAGTTACGAAGAACCACATCGTAGGAAGCAACGGTTGTGGACACCACTCGAACCATCGAGTTCTGAAGAACACGAAGGCGCCGAAATGTTGGTCACAGCAAAAGCCTCATTTGGATTTGTCAGTGCAATAGGACCTTGCCATATAAATCATGCTCTTGTCATTGTCATTCCTATACAAATAAGAAAAGGAAAAGCCTCTCGGTGCTGATCAATCTCTGAGGAATGTGCCATGCATTCGACTTCATGAATCATCGTTAGAGGTGGTTGAAGGCAAATCCAGCCTTACAATGATTCGCGGTGGCCTACCGATATATCGAGCCAGTGCTAGTATCCTCCCAGACAACTCAAGTATCAATTCGCCGGCTCCGGAAAGATGGAAGGCTTGGTGAACATGGAGCCGATCCCGGAAGGATCTAGGGCTTGGTGAGCATGGGGCGCGGGATCAGTCCCATGTGTACCGTGGAGCTGCCCTAGCCACTGTGCTACATGCGTGATTCTGATAACTAGAAGTTATTCTAACCTTCTACTTATAGCCAGGAAAAGTTTCGGGCACTTATAGATAATAATTGTTCTGTTTTCTAATGAATGTTGAGCAAAATCGAACAACTGTTTTACAGGTTCACGTTCACGTTGGTGTCAAAGAGAGATACAGGGTTGGAATCTTTGATGAATAGCTTTCCCATTCTGCGGATGACGTTAGTGGTGCCATGAATAATAACTTGTGGATGCACTTTGATCTGAATGTTAAATTTCTTGTGCATGTTACTATTTTTAGATGTTCATTTACTGAATTTGAGGATATTTTCACATATTCCTGCAATGTGAATCCCATCCTTAGTCCTGTATATCTCAGTACTATGGATTTGCATCTGATTCTACATATCTCCACAGTTTAGGACATTGATGTAAAAAAGAAACTGAGACTGCAAAAGACAAGGCATTGTCAAATTTGGGGATGGAGTACTACGAAACTCGTGATAAACATTTTCGATACATATGCTTCTTGAGAACACTGTTGTTTCGCTCAGTTAGCGTATTTCTGGATTTCTAGGCTACTTGTCTTGAGTGAAAGAAAAATTGCCAATATGAATTATATTTTGTTAGGACAGAGGAGATTATGCAGTTTGCTGTCGGATCTGAAGCTAATGTATATCTCGATCCAACGTTTATAAGCGAAATCATCATGAGTGAAGAAGGTGGGGGTATTCTTCCTCGTCGACCGGTCAAGATGAATGACGTGAGAAATTTGGGTGAATACAAGTCTCAAGTACGTTCAGTTATGAGTGGAGATTAGGAAGATTTATCCATTTTAGGTGAAAAAAATAATCAAAATGCTAGTCCATTGAGAAGTGCTAATGGAACATCTGGTGTGGTAGGTCTTTCATCTTAATGAAAGCTTTTGTTTAGAGATGGAGTTAGAAAAAACTAACCAATATTTTTACGTACGAATGCATACGTGTCTTTCGCGACGATTACTGGCATAAGTGAAGAACGACTTGCGTAGTTCTAGCGAATCGTTGAACGAAGAAGGGCCATTTACTACTCCCACGAATATTTACTTGGATACTTTGATGGCCCGTCTTCAATGGTGCGGACGCCGACATAATCTCCATTTTTCGGAAATTTGCTGGTTAAGCCATTGTGGTTCTCTGGAGTCACGAGGTCAGCTGGGCCAAAGTCTGCCCCAGGTCTTCTCCACCACAGGTAGTTACCGCCCTTGTAGATCAGAGGGGAATTCGACACCATCCGACTAGGTTGTCACCAGTACGGTGACGGATCCTGGTATTGGTTTACTCTTAGCTGGGTTTCCTAATGGAAACGCCGGACTTCTTAGTTTGGAAGATCGTGCCAGGGGGATGAGTCCTGCTTTACATCGCAGCCCCACACCCAGGAACACCTCCCAACCACGATGAGACGTGTTGTTTTAATGTTACGTGTCAAACAAGAAAATCCCTAAATCAAAGAGTGTTGATGAAGTCGTCTACATTTCATGTACCCCACATTTGAAGTGTATTCATTTATTTGTTATTTCAACATTGTATTGCGGTTGCAAAAAATACCTAATTCCTGCGTACGCACACTTATGTAATCGTGTCTGACTAGCGCTCGCTAAGATGGTCCTACTCAAGACATACGTCAAGAACTACTCGCTGAAGCAGCTTCTTGTAATTTCGACGCTACAAAAGATCTGGGACCACTGAGAAAACCATGTGATTAGTTTTGTCCTAGGACACTTGCTTGTGTACTCTCGACATCATAAACATCTTATGACTCTCTTTACAATTGCAATTTCACAGCAAAACTCCAAGAAGTAAACAAACTCGGAAACACGGTCTTGTGCGGATTAAGAAACAGCTAGAAAGAAGGGTTACATACGATTTGTGACGAACTGTGTGTATGTATTAGATTGATACTTATAGGTTTCTTCTTTAGAGGATTCCTTCTCGTTGTTGGTGCTGCAAATCGTGTCGTCTTCGTGTAGTGGAAGTAGCGAATACTGGCCGAAGAATACTTGAATGTGCAAATCTACGCTGTATGGCAACCATAGAGTACACCGATCTACCTATTGGAACCACAACTGAGCACGAAAAAGCATCGGTATATTCGTATTAGAATCGCATATTGAAATAACTGGTACCACTCGTCGCATTGAGTGTCCGATTTTTTATGGTTCACTTCAATATCATGAACCTAGAATTCAGGAGATAAACTATGGATGGTACCTGAGAGACACTGCTGAAATGGTATATCCGACTCCGAGGACGTTGGCGATGTTTCCTAAGTATGCCGCTGAGCATCGCGTATTTACACTAGTGCTTGAGCATATAAATTGCCTCTTTTTCAGTCCGAAATTTGAATACATCCCTGAGGTTTTGTACGATTCTGCCAAGCGGATCGTAGTTCGATGTCCGGGTGAACGAAAACTTATACCGTTAGACTAGGAACGCTTCGATGCCTTTAGCTCTTACAAATTGTGATAATAACAGTGATACTTTGAACGCTACTCTTTAAATGTTTGTTTTTTGTTCACCGTTTTACTACTTGTTTTTACCTTACAGTTTACTTCTCTTCACTGAATACACTGTACTAAATAGTCCATGAAGTCCAATACAACATATTTCACTGTGATTCTTCTAAACTCCTTAACCAGTCTTGAGACCCCTCACAGCAAGTTCTATGTAGGTTACGATCATTATGGTGCGATATGTGGCAAAATCGATGGTTAACTCATTGTGTAAAAATTGGCATAATAATTCAGTTGGAGAATACATCACAAAGAATTCCACAACAATCAGAATCACTTAATAATGAAGTGGTGGTGTAGTTACGACATCTGCTTCACTGCTTTTCCAGTCTTCTCTAACGTCTGTAAAATCTGACTGGCTGGCAAGTCAGTGGTTACAACCACCTGCTTCGTATCAACATCGATTTTGTCTACAGTCACCTTGTCTTCTGAATGCTATCCTTCAGACATGAATTTATGTTAAAATAAACAATAATCTTCGTATTTTTGTTGAGCAAACGCGAGGTGTTACTATTCTTTGTTCACGATTAAGCTGACGTTTCGGCGGATTTCGCCTTCACATTGTGCACATTGTACTTCCACGTGATTTCTGTGCGGTTGGTCTCTACGTGACATACTTAGTGGAAGCCTCATAGAAAGCGGCTCTGAAGAAGGCGAAATCCGCCGAAACGTCAGCTTAATCGTGAACAAAGAATAGTAACACCTCGCGTTTGCTCAACAAAAATACGAAGAAAATCACTTGATCAATGCCGAGGTTAATAGAAAGTCGGTCGTGGCAGTTAAACAATAATCGACCAACCTCCAAGTTTACTTAGAACCCGACGGGCAGCGTTGGCACAGCCTTCACATGTCATTGCCATCTCGAATGTGTACTGAATTAAATCAACCTAGTTGTTTTCATATTACAGATATTTACACCACCTACGCACATATATAATAGACAACTTGGAGTTTCAGATTCTTACTGAGGAACCTTTTCAGTGCGTCTGGTCTAGTTATAACCAAAGAAGAGAAAAAACATGCACACTGTTCCTAGTTCGATCTGGCCGGAGGCCTGAGTTTTACGAATATCTCAGCATCGTTGTGACTGTTCTTAGTCTGGTATCATGTTTTTCTTGGCGACTATCTGCAGAAGTATGGTCACAATGGCATGCTCTATTCCTTTCTTCATCTAAACGTGCTTCCCTGAAACCGGTGAGCTTAGTCATAAAGAACCACGAGGATGCTGAGATATGAATAAAATTCGGAATCTCAGTTGAGTTTCCAAGCTGCGATTCCTCTTTCCGGAGGCCTATGTACCGTCCACAACACCAATCGAGGCCCTTGCTTTGCCTTTAACTCAGCCAATTTTCTGCTCTAACGGTGCTCTCCGCAGCGGCTCATCAATGGGAATGATCTGGAGAGCACAAATCTGTACTGGAAGAACCGTAAGAACAAAAAATGGCCGTGAGAAAGGCAAAGCAAAGGCCTTTTAAATGTTGGGGACAGCACTTGAGCCCTCCGAGAAGGTAGTTGGGGGTCGGAAGCCCAGCTAAGGTTTCGAGTTTTCCTTATTCTCAGCATTCTTATGGTTGTGTTTCATCTAACACCCTGCCATATAAAAAAGAACACACAGTAAGTAGAAACTAGACACTAGTTATAAACATTATAAACATTCCTATTTTAAAAACCCGAGGGTATCTTTGTGTTTGTTTATTTTAGTGGCCTTATTTGCTTTATTTCTGGTAATAGATCTCCTGCATTCTCAAAAACAATAGAAACTAATGGGTTGTAACACGTGGGCTAAAAAGACCTGCATGCAAAACTAGAACATGTCATTGGACGGCCACAAAGCCCATCGGATTTTTGCGATCGTAAGTATATCAATCGTGACGTACGACATTCTACACCAAATATGAAGCTCACTACCAAGCAATCATGGATCTTCGATTGAATACCACCTCGTAAATGTTCGAGAATGAACCGACCTGTGGCATGATGATCGGTGGGAGTTGTCAGAATATAGCTCTCGACCCGCAGCAACGGCTATGGGCGTCGTCGTTCGCCAAGTGGGACGACGTCCTGGAACGCCGACATCTAGCTGGACGCCGCGTCACTGGTGACCTGCGGGCCAGCGATCGATCCCACTCACCCGCATTCCCGCCGGGGACGCACCTGGACAGTGCTCGTCTCCGTCCGTCCGAATGGCTGACGACTTGACTACGGCATCGCTGCCACAGTACTCGGTTCCAGGTCCACAGGTGAATTCAGCATTATCTCGGATAGCTTCATAAGTTAAGGTTTGATTCTTTAACAAGGTTGTTAACAGTACTTAACTTAGCACTGGCTGACGGTGATTTCGTTTTCTTTAAAGCTCGGAAAGGTGAAATCGATATGCATTCTAGTCGGTCGCATACTTCCACAACTCCAACAGAGGGAAACTGAATATCTAAGTTTCATTTGCATGGGAAACGGCTTCTTTTAAACACTCACTACTTTATCTTTTTATGAGTCTACCAGTTATTGATCGAAATCAGACGTACAGAAGAAGTCTCTGTTAGCCTATTTGGATTGGAATGGTGGGTGAGTATGGCCTTCACTGGTTGGAAGGTTTTATTCTCATTTTAATCCTTTCTCAAGGTCTGCGGGTGGTTTTTTGGATTCTGAGGGTGCTTTCAATCCTTAACGACCAAGAATGAGCTTCTTCTAGTCAGAGCGCATACTTTGCTGATCTGCTTATTCATATGCCGTGTGTTCTTGAAACCTACGAGCTTTTCTGTTTTGCTGTCTATCTCACTTCGGAGACCTTTTTTGGCTTTCTGTAACTCGGGTTACCCAAGTAAGTTATGACGTATGTCCAAGAGTCTGGTTAGATCAAATCGACACGTATTCAATCCAGCCTGTCACTTTCATAACCCGAAAAAGACGAAACAGCTGAAACGTCAAGTATTGTATATACAAACCCTTTGTTTGTTCACCGGAGAAACAGTGGATTATTGATCGATGTCGAGCTTACAATAATGTTAGTCTTGGGATTCGATTTACTATAACTAAACGTATTTATACCAGCTTTATGGCATTCGCATTGTTTTAACTCACATGGGCTGTTAGGTAAACGCAAGGTTTGATTGATACCGTATGTAGGCAGGATTCTTTGAAACACGGAAGCAGCAGGAAGGTGAGTGAAGATCCGTTGGCCAGAACATATGTAGGAAGGTTGCCCAATGGAAAAATAGCTGTTTGTTGTTTTGTAAGTTGTAAGGACTGCTAAATGTGCATTATAATAAGCGGGAACTTTACAGCATCGTTTTTATGGAGAATTGAAAAGTGTAGTTCTTTTATTTACCATGCAGACCTGAGAAATAGCATAGTGTGCATCAGATCTGGTGATGGGTTATGGGTTATTGCAATTGTAAACATTTTTGTAAGGCTGGTTTTCAGGTCGTTGGTGGCAGCAAATACCAGCAACTACTAGCGGTTATTGAAGAACTTGGTAAAGATATTCGGCCAACCTACACCGGTAACAAGATTTGCGCGGAACGCCTGAAGAGATCAATCGCCCATTCGCGGATTCTCGTAAGGTGGGGCGCACTCATATCCTTGGACGTATCTTATTTTCTAAGAAGAGTGCTTTGCAGAGAGTGCTTGATTGAAGCGGAAAAGGATCGGCAGAAGGCCGCAGCCGACGCGGCTATCAAAAATCAGTGACCCTTCCTTAGCCTTGATTCTCCCTTGTTATCGTAATTTTGCCTTTCATGTTTCAAAACTCTGTACAGTTACCACAAAACCCTGCATTCGTGCTTTCTACTCAGTTCAATGTACTCGTTTCCACTTATCAGTTAGAAGGAGCTTGCTCACGAATTGGTTCCATATACATTCTTTCGCACGACCTTGATATTATTCGCTGTATCGTCGCTCCTGCTGGGGTGTTCCGCTTCGAACTTCTGGACTCCGACGTCGTCATCGCTGCTGTCACCGATGGTTCGCTGTTTATCACGACATTCAACGGTTAGTCATCTTCCCCTTCCCTTTTACTCCCTTGTCAGGTTTCTTTTCCGTCCATTTTTTAAAGTTATCTTAAAAAATTCTGTTAGTTTCTTATTTTACAATTTTTATTCTAGCACAAATTACTTGTGATATGCACTGATTTTTCGGGCGCGTGCAGCGCAGCGGTTAGAGGTGCTTTTAATACACATGAGGTCGATCCCCGCACGCGCCAGGCCCATCTAGCCTTTCATCCCCCGGGGTCAACATCTTGGTACAGACTTGTCTAGGAGGGTAGCTGCACTGATTCGATACGTCGGTAGACTACCGCGAGTCCTTGTAAAGGCAAGATATGCATTCAATCACCTTCAAACGATGCTCCATGAATTCGAATGCATGACGCATCCCACAGAGATAGATCAACGCCGAGAGCTTCATCCTCCATCATCCTTCGTCATACACTGATTCTAATGCGTACTTTGGGAGCAAATTAAATAATATCCTTTGTTTCAAAGGTATTTTGTGCTTGGTTGTTCCTTTTGCCACACAAAACTTTTTGCAATATTTTTTCATTAAATCTGTAGTGTTGCGTCCAAACATATGTTAGGCCTCGTCGGAGTAACACTATTTTCCACAATTCGGGATTTGAGAAAAGAAAGGAAAGGTTTTGGCACCGCAGTTTTCTCATCTCTGTGTTTGTTTGTTTCCATGAGCTTCGCACTATTCCTTGGCTTTTGTACAGACACAACGCTACGATGCAGATGAGGATGGGAGGATGGCGGTTATATGTCTCTACTGCAAATACACAAATACGCTACGATTTCTGGCTGATTGTACAAATATAATGATATCAAGGCAGTAAGCGGGGGGGGGGGGGGGGGGGGGGGGG